TCTCGCTGTAGCTGGCATTGCTTCTACCGGATCGGGTAGATCGTCTGCTATCGGTCGAAGATACAGACGCCATGCTAACGTCCGAGTCGGATTCGGCGGGCGAGATGCGTTGGACGACCGGCATCTCCTCGTCGACGTCGTCCACTTCGACTGGGTGGAAAGGATCGTCGTGTCTGGCTTCGTACTGCGGAACTCGTCCGTGACACAGTTCGAATAGCATAACCGTTAACCCTTTGACGTTCGGTAGCGATATTGAAATCTGCCAGAAGCATCCTTTTGTCGTTCGTGAGGTACGTTTCGACGTAGAGAGAGACGTAATAACCGCAGTTGTTTGTACCCGTCTCTTTGAACGTTGTAACTTGCAGGGTCGGCAATTTCGATGTCGATGGCGTCGTTGGACGCGAAGAACGGATCGAATTCGCGAATTGCGTCCTTGATGGCGGGTATGTAGCGGGCGTTGTCGTTGTCGAACCGGTTTTTGTTGGGCAGAGGGTCGTAAAGTACGGTTCGGCCTCTTCGCTCGTGAATCACCAGTGCGAAGTGTCCCGGGAAGTAGATCGGGACGAACAGTACCTCGTACTCGTTACAATCGCCCCAGGCGCCTACGGTTGACGAGACGGGCGCGTTACTCCATACGCCTATCCTGTACCCGATGTTAATCAAGATCGACTTGATAACATCCTGCGCCAAGTATGCGACGTACATCATGTAGCCGAATACGCTGTTCACGTTCATCTGCGATGTCGGATCGTGGAATTGTGCCATCAGATCGTATCGAGCGAGATCGTAAAACGGAGTGATTTGCAAATTTGCCATCGCAAATCGCCAACGACGAGGACCTCTACCGGAAGCGCGGTAGCAGGTATTGGGGTAGATGCGGGTGGTGGTATTACGGACTGCGACAAAGTAAGCGGCGCGTCGTGCTCGCTACCAGAAATGCCCGCTTTTCTGGCTGCATATTGGGCCGTGATTCCGAAAGTACTTGACGCGTTTTTGGAACCCAGATTGTACATCTATGAAGGAAGGTAAGAGGAGTGTTTATAAAGATGTGTATGTGTAAAAATTTATTTAATTTTAAATTTTGTTTTTGAAAGGTTTGGTATTCCAAGGAGAAAGAAATGCGTAGCAAGAACTATAGCAGATTATCCTACTTGATCATCAAGGGGCTGAAATGCATAACTTACTAATACCTGATGCAGTTGAAGAATCTTGGTAAAACCTTTACCAAAGTATGGGGGTGGATGTCAGTATTTGGTAATATCAGTGCAGGGGTGATCGGCATCTTTTTCATTATGAAGGTCTTTAAGATAGGTAAATAAATCGAATTTGTTATAACGTTTATTTTATATTTTCTGTGGCGATCGATTTCAGCGAAATGCCATCATCAGGCCTACCTATAATATATCCTGTGCTATAATTGATAAACTTAGAACAGTGCTTACCGTCAAATGTTTAAAAGGCAGCGTTTTTAGATTTTAACATGAAGTGCGTGTTACTTATGGATGTGGAATATATCTATTGAAAATAACATTAGTAAAATTGAACATCACATACAACCAATAATATAATTAATTAAAAAAATTTACATAAATGAAATACAACAAATAGCAACAATGTGTTTAAAGTGTGGTTATGTTTTTAGCAGTGGCGTGTATGTATATTAAATTATAAATGTGGGATGTGTTGAATTCGATGATTTCATTGGGGGTGATTGTGTTGGTGTTCATAAGTGCTTTTTGTATTTCAAAGTTTTCTAGGATGGTAAGTTTATGGTAAAGGTTGCAATTGTGTAGTAATTTAGTCTTTAAGATAATTTTAGATACTATCATACATGGTAAAGCACTACATGAAATTTATGGTTGTAGTTATGTACTTATTATAGCAAGTATTTGGTCTACATCATATTTACTTCACCGAGGTAAAGACTCCACGAGCACACTGTATTGTCATAACTGCCTATTGTTACGTCACAACATGAATAATAGATCAGACATGTTTTTACGAACTTCACACCACGCTATTCGGTATATAATGATAACCGTTAGGGCACAATACCATATCGTAATTCCCTAAAAAAATTGCTACATATTTAAATTTAAAAGATTGCGATAAATATACCGGGCATTGCTTCCGACGTACTGCAGCAACTTTATTGGTGAATGCAGGAGGCGATATTTTACAGCTGAAGCGCATGGGTGGATGGAAATCTGCAGCAGTGGCAGAAGGATACGTGGAGCAGTCACTACATGGACAAGAAAAAACTGCAGGGATTTTATCATCGGGAAGCACTTCTGCTGCGATTTGATCAGCTGTACAAAATTATAGTCCGATTCCTTGTTCATCTTCATCAATATCGCCAACTGCATCCTCGTCCAGGCAAGACTTGCAAATAAACCCGCCAATTCCATCCATTAACAGATTTGTTGGCGCTACCTTTCTAGTTCCCTCGTTGTCGCCTTCAGAATTATGTATCAGCAGCGTACCCCTCTCTAGCTCAGTGAAGACGGGCCGGGTTCCTAGTTGGTTAGAACCTAAAATACCTCATATACAAGATAACTCGAAGATTATGGGCGCCACCAGCTCTACACTGCACTCCGCTACTGAATTTAACGGAAGCTGGGCCGTAGATGGTAAGACTCCAGCGACAACTCAGTCCCCAATTTGACTACACACCTCTAACAATAATAAATAAGGATCCCCAATATTTAAGACCGCACAAATATCACAGTTTCCAGAAGAACAACTTCAACTTTTAATCCTAAAAACCGAAACAAAAAACCGTTATAATTATCCCCTTTGAGTTAATTAACATTTACCAGTCAAGCTGGCTCCCACCCCATAAAACAACTAAAGTAACAAGATCACAAAACTGTATCTGACCGAGGCCTACGATACCTGAGTATCGTAGGCCTCGATCTGACCAAACCCACTCGATTGTCGGGACCTGCTATTATTCGGCTATAATTTGAATTTACTGAATTTCAACTAACTTACGTTAACAGTAGCACAAGGCTTCCCACCAGTTTACGTCTAACAACAATTATTGCTTCCCTCACAAGTAATTTCTTTGCAACGAAATGTCTTCAACTAATTGTTAACAAAAGGGGTCTCCCCAAATTCGACAGAATCTCTAAGATTCTCTGTTAACAATAATTCATCGTGAACGTCAAATTTCATAACAACAAGAATGTTCTAAGGTCCTCCCAATCAATCGGTACGTAACTTCGACAGACATTAGTGACACTTCGCTGTGGGTACTCGACGTTCCTCCAACACCTCGCCACGATCTCCACGTACAGCGGTTGACTATGTGATCGGCACGAACTCCAAAGGTTCTACGATGTCCTCAATCTCACGTAGAGGTAATCGGTCCTCTATCTCTCGTTTCTCCCAACAGCGATATACACGAAAACAACTCCACCTCCCCCAGGGTTAATGCTCAAGACAAAACGAACGTTCGACAGCCGTGCTGGTTATTATAGTCCTACCGGCTGCTCCGCCTAAAATAAACCCCCAGATGTAGGGGAGTTGTGTATGAGATGGCATACTTTTTTTAAACAGGTTGTAACTATTACAATATTGATGTTAAAAAGATAAACCATGACGTTTTAAACAATATAATGGGTAAACCTAATACATTTCAATTCATTACAAGGTATACTCAATCTATTTCGGCACTTTTAATTAAATAATGTAACCCTAACAGATGCCATCTCATCCATAATGTCCGTATGAGATGGCATACTTGCAAAATTAAGTTTTACAAATGTCACAGATGAAGCTTTTCACTCTTCTGTCTGTACCAGCACATTCTGCATGACACCACTGGTCGCATACCATACACCTAATCCACATTTCTTTTGAGCGGGACCGGGAATATAGGTCATTACAGTATATGCACGCTACGTCGTCCTCCTCTTCATCACCACTAAATGGATCTCCATCATTTTTATTTTGTTCATCTGAATTTTCAACTAGGATACGCTTTTTCACTTGTCTCGCCGATTTTCTTTGTAGTTTGGCAGCCTTTTCTGCTATGTTATCCTTCATTGCTTGTAATTCAGGGGTTGTGTTCAAATGTCCATATATTCCTTTTCTTTTGGTAGATTTGCGATTCTTAGCTGTCGTAACTGGTAAAGGGGATATATTTTCGATAGAAAGATTGACACAAGTAAAGGGGCTAGGAGAGTTCTAGCGCAACTTCCGGCCAAATTACATGTAATTTCCCATAAGGAATTCTAAGGTTCATTTGGGCTTTTTTTGAGCACTTTGGATGTGCGCATGCGCGCCCCGCCCCTTTGCGCAGGCGTCATTTGGACGCCATCTTGGAATCCTCAAGTTCTTGGAATCCTCAAGTTTCTTGGAATCCTCAAGTTCTTGGACGCCATCTTGGAATCCTCAAACTTCGACCCCTTCGTACCCTGAAAATTTTTTTTAAATGGAACGGATTCGAACCGTCAACCATTGGATTACAAGTCCTATAGCATAACCGCTGAGCTAATTAGACTATTATGGTATAATGCTTCCATAGTTGTATTTATAACGAACCTCTAAATATTATTAATGGTACGGAGGCGCCATCTATTGGCGTCGTAATGCATATAGAGGTATATTTTCAACCGGCTCCCTCTATTAGATTGATGCGACATATAGGTATAGGGTAGGAAATTGTAATTTCAGGAGACAGGTGCGAGGACCCTCATTCTAACCTATAATTCCATCTCGGAGGTAGGTTCCCTATAACCAGAACAGGAGTGGGCAGGGAAAAAACAACAAACAAAATGTAGGGTGTTTTTATTTACAGCGGAAATAGTGATTTGAAGTTTATTATTACAATTAAAGCGCTTACTCTACTTACATAAAATTTGCGTCGAAGAGGACCGACGACGGCAACGCCCCTATTTTTTTTGGATGACAGCATTGTTATTCATACCTAACTGTAAATTCTCCATTTGGTCGAGGCCGTTCTACAAATAGACTCTTAAAATGTATAATATGTCTTAGCGGACTATTTACCAGGATTTTAAGGTGGTTGAAGCTGCCGTTGAAGCTACGTGCGGTGCGATGTGGAGTCATGGTGTTTTTTATAGAAAGAAAATAACCGCGTTTGGACGGGATGCTGCAATCTTGCTATAATGCGATACTGTTTAATTATAGCATCAGCTTTTGATGGTAGGGGCGGTAGGGGGACCGTATGAGCTATTTCATAGGAACGATAGCTACCTCCCCTATCGAATGGAGCTACCCCTTAGGCCTACCGACTACAGCGTAGCTCCAGGTTTATAGTTCGTGGGAATTTTCCATGGTTAGGGACCAAGACGTATGAACTACCCCGTAGTTTTATGTAGTATCCTGTTGGGTGGGTTTAAGACGTTAAAGTTATCCTCCTAATTTTATAAAGAGAAAAAAAAAATAGCAACACGCGCGGATTTCATTATTCACTTGGTATGGGAAGTTGCAATCTTGCGATAGTGTTTATTTATAGCGAATATTGCGATAAGGTACTTTTTATACCATTTCATTTCCATATTAATACCGGTACCTATGGGGGTTTTTATTGTGTATATATCTTTATGCGTAAAGTTCGAAAATCTCCCTTAAAAAGGCGCGAAATATGGTGATTGGAAATGTGTATATCTTTACGGAAGTACGTTCTGTATAAATTCGACGTTCCACAACATTTAAAACGGTGTACAATTATGGAGCATCCGCAATCTGATTTCAAAAAGTGCATGTGGGTATACACCTACTTAGACAGGCGCCTTCTTATATACCTCAGGTAAGCCTTTTTTTCAATTTTTAGTTGCTTATAATTTACTTTTCTTAGGGATACGTGTCCTTGCGCGCATAATTTGCAGTTTAATGAAAGCGTGACATTTTATTGTATTTATTCAGCGATTATTTTATATGGGCGTTTATAAGTAATAAGCTGACAGCAGAAAACATAGTCTACATCAGAGTTGGACCGTAAGTATCAAAATTATTTTGTAATAAAAAGCCTACTTTGATATCTTTTTTAGCCGATATCAAACCCCAATGGAGGATTGCCTTCATCATCATCATGGTTAAACGGTCGCAAGCGCCGTAACTTTATTATTACCTACCTATAATATCTTAGATTTATTGATGGGAAGTAGGTAGAGGATAATGCCGTTGCGATAAATAAATAAGATAACATTGTGAATATTATGTATTATGAATTATGGAGCATCCGTAGGCCGGTTTATGCAGCCCTAATATAATGTAACTTTAAAGTAATGTAATTTAACCTTCAAATTTAAGAAGTTGAAATACACTGAACAAAGGCGTACGTTCATGCATTCATTTAAGCATTTAACAATATTTAACGTAATGTAAAAGATGGTTAACTTTCATCTTTTACATTAAAATTAACACGAAAATCAAAATGAGCATGCGTGGATTCTCATCAGCTGTTTCCTTTATTTGGTTTTTTATTTTTTATAATCTTTAACCTACTTTATTTGAAATTTTGTTTGCTCTTCGTAATGGATAATTTGGATGAATTATTAAGTATTGTCACCATTGTGGTGGCTGCAGGATGGTGGTATACTAATAGTAGAAGACATCGTCGCTTTGCGGTTCGTCCTGTTAATCGTCATCGAGAGAGGATGGGTCTATACCGTTCCATCAAAATGATGTACAGATCCGATTTTCCGCACTTTTTCAAATACACCAGGATGTATCCAAGTCTATTTGATAAGTTACTGAATCTGGTTGGAACTCACTTATTAAAGGATCCTACTAAACGGCCTATAGACCCTCCTCAGCGATTAATTATAACACTTCAGTGAGTATGTAAGAATTTGGATGCAGTTATACTGTTCTTTAGTTATTTAGCAGAGGGGTGTTCAATGCAGGAGATGTCCTATAGCCATATGTTGGGTAAAACAACTGTGGCTAATATTATAAAGGAGACAACAAAAGTGTTATGGGAAGTCCTTCAACCTATTTACTTAAAACCACCAACAAGGCCAGAATTATTACAGATTGCGGATGCATTTAATTCAAAATGGAATCTGCCACATTGTGTAGGAGCAATTGATGGCAAGCATGTGGTAATCCAGGCTCCTCCAATGAGCGGCTCCACATATTTTAATTATAAAAAGACATTTAGCATCAATTTAATGGCAGCCTGTGATGCGGAATATCGATTTATATTTGTGGATGCTGGTGCACCTGGTGGGGACCATGATGCATCGGTATTTAGGGAGTCTGGGTTTGGCAGTAGAATTTTACAAGACCAACTAAATTTACCTCATACTGCCAACCTTCCTAATACTAAAGTCGAGTTTCCGTACTTTTTTGCTGCCGATGCAGCGTTTCCATTGCACGAAAATATAATGCGACCATATCCAGGCGATAAACTATCGGATGCCCAAAAAATTTTCAATTATCGTTTATCAAGAGGTCGCCGAACAATTGAAAATGCGTTTGGCATTCTTAGCCAAAGATTGCGAGTCTTACGACGCCCAATAATCGCCAATGTGGACCTATGTGAGCAGATCACATTAAGTTGTGTTGTGCTACACAACTTTATCAAATATAATGAAGACAATGGAGCTGCTGGAAACATGAGGTACTGTCCTCCAGGATTTGCGGATGTGATAAATGGAGAGGGTACTGTATCATCTGGTACTTGGAGGCAATATTTAAATTCCCCTGAAGGATCAGTGCCTTGGCAGGAAGAAGTGATATGGAGAGGTGCCATGCCAAATACAAAGTAAAATTTTTTATTTACCGTTTATTTCTAAGTTTTAAGATATTATTAGTATTTAAGTGTTAATCATTAGTGTTAAGTATAGTAACATAAGTAAATTTAATATGAATTTATATCTAAATAACTAAAAAGTAAATTTCTACTACTAATCAAAATAAAATGTCCAAAATTTTCTTTTTTACTCGTCTCTTTTCCCCTTCATCTTTAATTTGTTTTAGCTCAAGAGTGACCATATTGCCAAAACATGTGTCGGTATCAATTTCCTCGGATGCGCTCCTCTTTGTCTGTATGTATTGCGTCAATGTACTCATTGCAGAATTAATGTTTTTCGCCATATCGGCCCTAGTTTTGCGTTCCGTAGACCCTTCCCTTGAGTGTGACTGCGGAGTAGTTGTGCCTTTTATCGTACTAGTCGATGATGAAGTGCTTGGCTGAGGACTGGGCAATGTTATGTCTTCCATAGGTGTCTCGGTCTCCTCTCCTTCAATTACCAACTGCAGCGAATCCCACACACGATCAGATGGCTTTGTTTTTGTAGTCGGTTTTCCCACAGCTACATTTCCTTTCGCTCTAAAAAAATTTCACCTTTAGTTCACAATTTCTAATTATCAAACAGCTACTTTACCGTCTTTGGGTAATGTACTCAGAAAGAAATGCTAGCGAGTCAAACAATGCCCAGACAGGTTCTGTATCTTCACCACCGGCACCCGAAGGTGTATACTTTTTCCTCTCCGCATTGTAGCGCGCCAGAAGCGTAGCGTCGGGGGGGCACGTGCCCCCCCAACTTAACAACCGGCGATAGTCCTCATCAAGCATTATACACACAAATAACACGCCTATTCATTGATGATAAACCAATAAAATAATAAACTCTTATTTCGTTATTTCCAATTATTTAAATGCAACTTAGGCCCGATCTATTCACCTCCCTGTAACGGCTGTAACTTTAATCTGCCGGTAAATTCCATGGATACCATTGTTGACACAATCGTTGTCTAGGTACTTACTTGCCCATTAAATTTACTGGAAGATGAATAGACCGGCCCTTAGAAGTGAAATTCCGTAATAATTTATTTAACTTGACGAATTTTCCGACGTTTTAAATGCATTTTAAACGCATGGTACTTTAAATGATTGCGCACGGTTCCGTTTTATGCTACTGAATATCTTGAATTTACGGCAACGGCGCCAATGGAGGATTTTAAATTTTAACCCCCTCCCTAGTGGTCAACCGACAACCGTACGCTGCTGGTACCAGGTACCACTGACTTAAGCCATAAGGTGGCGCCACGCGGACGCGACGCGCCAGCGCTTCCGCGTTAATAAAATACTTATGATAGTCGTTACTCGTTAGTCACTAGTCAGTCAGTAAGTTTGCGCGTCTTTTTTAAGTGTTAAGTATTATATAGACTTTCTATCAGTTTACCTTCATCTAAAATCAAGTTAGTGAGTTTTTGGTGCTTCTGTGGTTAGTTATTAGTTTATTTATTATTCGCGTCTTCGCGATTCGCGAACCGAAAAGGAAGAGGATGGATAAATTTGTCATTGTGACGAGAAAGTCACGACCATCAAAAGACTCTACCCCTAGTAACTTTACAAATGACTCTTCTCAAATACCATCTACCTCACAGTCATCGAAAGAGTCATACACGGCACCAGCGGATCAGAGCACTGATGAACATTCCAGAGGAGGAAAAGTTGAAGATTATCAAGTGCGCAAAAGTGGAAAACCTGGTTCACAAGAGCGAGACCCTGGAACAGGAATTGAAAGTGTGGATTTAACTGCTGGACCTTATCAACCAAGTGTTAACTATCCAAAAGAAGTAGTGCTTGGGAAAATGCGTTCTTTTAAATCATCTTGGTACTCTGATTTTAAGTGGCTTGAGTACAGTATTATCAAAGACTCTGCCTTTTGCTTTCCTTGTCGTGTATTTCAACGTGTTAAAAAGGGGCGTGGAGAAGAGTCATTTACCACAGTAGGTGTCAGTAATTGGAAAAAGGCCATAGAAAAATTTAAGAAGCATGAAAAATGTGATACACATCGATCTTCAATGCTATTTTTGAGTGAAATGCGATCGAAGGGAAGTACAGTAGCAGATGCATTGTCATCAACACGAGCAAAACAAGTGAAATTAAACTGGGATTACGTGAGTTTTATTTTTGAAAACATTTTATTTTTGGGGAAGCAATGTATAGCTCTGAGAGGCCATGATGAAAGTGCAACATCTTTAAATAAGGGTAATTTTTTGGAGTTGTTGCAACTGCGTTTGCGAGATAAACCCGAAATGACAGATTTTACGGAGTCGAAAATTCGATCTTACACTAGCGCCACGATTCAAAATGAAATGATCGAGATTGTTAAAACATCCATCTTAGATAGAATAATAAACGAAATAAATTTAGCGTCGTGCTATTCAATAATTTGTGACGAAACAACCGATATTTCGACGAAAGAACAAGTTTCTGTTTGTGTGAGGTACCCATTTCGTGATGATAGTGGGATTGTAGTCAAAGAACGTTTTTTAGGCTTTATAGATGTTGAAAATACAACCGGTGCAAACCTACATCACATTATAAAGAACTTTTTGAGAAATTTAGGTCTTGACCTTTCCAAAATTAGGGGTCAGGCGTACGATGGGGCATCCAATATGAGTGGAGAATTTAATGGTGTTGCAGCAAGGTTTAAAGAAGATGAGCCTAGAGCATTATATACACACTGTCATGCTCATCTGCTTGATCTTGCTGTTATGCGATTTTGCAACGAAGTGAAAGAACTAAGAAATGCTCTTGGTTGCGTCAATTCCTTGTATACTACAATTTGTGCATCAGCCAAGAGATATGCCATATTTGAAAATATTTGCAAGAAAAGTGAGAATCAACCAACTTTTAAAAGACTTCAGAATCTTTCTAAAACTCGTTGGACTGTTCGTCATCGGGCTCTTTCTGTGATTATTGAAGAATTACCTGAAATTTTTAAAACGCTAATAATAATTTCAAATGACAAATGTAACGCAAAAGCGTCGGCAGACGCCAGTGGGTTGCTTAAGAACATGTCTGATTTCGGTTTTATTTTTTCCGTTAAATTTTTGTGCAGCATTTTGTCATTGACTGACATTTTTTCAAAGGAACTTCAAAATAAAAATTTAGATATACATTCTTTACTTCCTAAGTTAAATACGCTACTTAAGTGCTTACAGTTAAAAAGAAATGACGAATCTTTCATGCGGATCTGGAGAGACACCGAAGAGCTATGTGACAAAATTGAATCACAATCCCCCGACATAGACATAGCAAAACCCACACTTAGCAGAAGAAGGAAAGTACCTGCGAGGTTAGACTACAACAGTGGGGAACCTGGATTTTTTGCAGAAACACCTCAAGACATTTTTAAGGTGCAGGTTTATTTCCAAGGACTTGATACCATCCTTTCTAATTTAAAGACCCGATTTTCCGAAAACGACTATTCGAAAATTATGATTATCGGTAAGCTGTTATTTAAGTGGACGGAGCCTATAAACGAAACTGAAGTGCGTAATATTCAAAAATTTTATCAGCTTGAAGACAGTTTTTACTCTGAGCTCCAAATTTATAGGACCTTCGCTGCAAGTCATTTTAATCAAAGTGCGCAAGACGGAGATACTATGCTATTACATACAATCAATCAATTTCTAAAGAACTCTTTGGTGGAAATGGTGCCAACAATTTTACAGTTATTAGAAATATCCTTATGCTGGCCTATTACAACCGCTACTTCGGAAAGGTCTTTTTCGTGCCTATGAAGATTGAAAACGTACCTTAGGAGCACAATGGTAGAAGATCGACTATCCGGTTTGGCGCTGATGGCTATTGAGCAAGATATGACCAAGGCGCTTATGGAACCAGCAAATACTCAGAAATTAGTTGAAAAATTTGCTAATAATTCCATACGTAGAATGGCATTTTATTAAGTGAAGTAGTTTTTCAATTAACGTAGGTACACATTAGTTTTTATAATTTCGATGTACATTCAATAAATTACGGATTTGGATGCATACTTGCCCATTCGGTGCTTTATTTTTGTAACTGTCATCTTAAATATTCTCATTCCCGTGCCCCGGGGGCACTTCGTAACTTCGAAATTGTTTTTTTAAATTTTTAGGACAAATCACACTACAAGGTTTTGTGATCTGAGAAAGACGTAAATTAGTCCAAAAACACATATAAAGCTACCAAAATGTCAAAAATTTTGCGGGGGGGGACCCCCGCACCCCCCTTCTCCTGGGGGGTTTTCCATACCCCCCAGACCCCCCGGTTACTCTCGCCCACCACCCTTACTACTCCACCGTGTCCTGATTTTTATTTTCATGAACCTCACAGCCCTAGTGCCCCCCCATTTTTATAGGTCACGCTACGCCACTGTAGCGCGCTCTTAATATAAGCCATCTTCGTTGGCATTCTTCAGCTAAAATAACCATATTTTGAATACCCAATGTCACACATGATCTTTACAGTACTTACGTGTGGATTGTAAGATTGCCGATATAGTGCCCCAGGCATTACTAATTGCACAGGAGTCTTTGTAATATTTATTGGATTTGTCATACAATAACGGGAACAGACGAACCTGCTCAATCAGTTCTGCGTCGTCCATAATAAAGCGCAAACCAAATAAACCGATTACTGAATTTAAAAAGAAACAACGGCACGAAAGCTATGTCTCCTTGGCGAAAGCAAATGTAGGTTATAAAATATAAAGACGCGGGAACCAAAACAACATGAAGTATGCTTTCAGTATTCAGCATGAAGTTGATAACAAAACTATACGCATGCGTTTATATTATTAAATTACACTAAAAAGGAGATGCATAAACCTATCCTTAAATTACGTTAAGTAAAATTTTAAAATTAAAATTACATTAAATTTTGCTGCATAAACCAACCTAACTCGATTTCAATAAGTGCATGTGGGTATACAGACAGGGGCCTTCTTATATACCACGGGTAAGAGATCTTTTTTTTTTCGCCATT